CGGAGACGAAAAATAATAAAGTTATCATACTTTTTCTGGTGATCGCATGATGTAATTGTGCAGTTAATGTTACCTATGGTGAGTAAAATGGCAGCCCATCTCTGATTCCAGCAAACAGAAGAAAGGAAACAGTGGGGACACACGTTCTGTCCTAACCTAACCTATTTTAATAAATTACCATAATTATTACCAACAAAATTATTAGAATAGGTTAAGTTAGGTTTTAACGTGCGTCCCCACTGTTTCCTTTCTTCTCTTTGCTGGAATCAGAGACGAGCCGCCATTTCACCCACCATAGGTAACATTATCCAATTGTGCAGTCTGAAGATTGATGACACTTTGAATTTCATAGCAATTGGTTTCTGCGGCAAGCACACCTATTTGTGGTACATTTATTTGTGGCAAAGATCTTATTTTCACTTTACCGAGTGCCTAGTAGGTAATGTGCGGATTACCTAGATACCCTGCACATTATCTAGGTCACTGGTTCCCAATTAGTTTTTCCTACGTACCACTTCAAGAAAGAGCTAAAACTCGCGTACCCCTTATAGCAGAAATTCATATTAATCCATACTAATATTATAAATTTGAAGACGATTCTGTTTGTCTGTTACCTTTTCACGTCTAAACCGCTAAACAGGTTTAATAAAATTTGGCACAGAGATAGCTTACATGTTGGAGATGGACATAGGCTACATTTTACTGCGAGAAAATATCTTAGGCTGCGAAGATTCCCACAGGATCTTTTTAATGTAAATAAAAAACTTTAATTAAGCTTAATCTTGCTTTCAGGAGCATCTTCCAATACGCGAGCGAGCGAGAATATGTGGCAAGAAGCGATAAATATCAAAACATGTCAGATATGTGCGAGAACCAGAAATTCGCTTCCCGCTAACATTTGTGCATGGTTTTCCTTTGCAAAAACTTAATCGCTCGCAACCTCTCGCTCGCTCTAAATTCGCGTCTGCATAGTCGCACTCTTACTCCCACGAGAAAATTTGATTTAATGCAGGCGAAGCTGTGGATACACAGCTAGTAATAAATAGAATAAGTTTTTTTTTACATTTATTACCTTTAAAATACAATTCTAATAATAATGAAAATAACATAAGGTTATTTAATTTTAATGCGACAAATGTGCACGATTTTCTTTGCACAACTTTATAAAATCTGGTTGTTTTTTTGGCAGTGGCGTAGCATAGTGGGGGCGGCAGGAGTGGCCCGCCACGGGCGGCACTTTTAAGGGGGGCAAAATTTCGCAATAAATAATATCTTGTAAAAATTTGAACCATTTTATTTCATATTTTTGTCACACCTACATTTCGGACCAATTGAAATAAGCACGGAATTTTTCAATACTTATTCTGTGACGAAACTGAATTTTAGTCTTTTAAATTGAGATACCTAAATAAGGGGGCGGCGAAATTTTCCTCCGCCCCAGGCAGCTGACACCCAAGCTACGCCACTGCTTTTTTGATCAGCTTCAGTCTCGAGTCATCTTCCAGTTGAAGTCGGTGACGATGTTTAGTTTTCATGTTTGTCATGGCCGAAAATCCGCGTTGCGCAAAATGGCAATGAATATTTTATTGTCGCTTCGCTGACATCAAAAATTCTAGCCCGATTTAGAAGCGAGATGTCGCAACTGATTATTAAACTCAGTGAAGTTTCATTGTACTCTGCGAGAAGTCGCGTTGTCGCGCGCGAGAAGTAACNTATTATTATTATTATTATTATTCTTACTGTACTTTTCTTTAAGAATATGAATTAATTTAATAATGTGTTCTGACAAAGATTTTTATGGCACATTATTGTAGGTTTTCAGACTTACTTGATTTTCTGAATAATGTTTATTTTCATTTTTCTCTGACTGTTTTTTTCTCTTCTAAATTATATTTAACTCTTTTTTCACTAATTTATTTTCAACTGTATATTCTTTTTTTATTATTTGTATATGAATTTATTATTTTCTTATTTACTATAATTTGTAAAGTATGTAATTTAATTATTGTAAAGTTGAGAAACAAAAATTCATGTTTAATAACATTAAAATATTATGATTGTTTATTTTGATGATTGTGAACTATCATTTATTTCATAACTGTGTGTAGTCTGTTTTTGCTACTTCTATGTCTTATTAACTATTGTTCACTACTGCCCAGGAAATGCAGAAACGTAGGGAAATGCTCTTAATGGTTGATTTGGTAGGTACCTCCAAATAGTTTTCTTATGTCCAATTTATTATATGATTATAATGAAGTTTATAATATTTTATATAATTAGTTTAAAACAAAAGTCAGAATTTATTTTGACATTTTGAATAAATATCATATTGATAAAATAATTCTTCATTAACTCTATAGATGTTTTTGAGTTTTTAGTCTTAACCATATATTTATTTTTTTAACATTTTATATGATTATAATCAGAAAAGTCATTATAATTATGTAAACTTACAAGTAACTTAAAACATAATGTCTGTTTTTAAATTAAACAGGAAAGGGAACGTCGTAGACAGCATATGTTACTTGTCCGTGCTCTTGAAGCTAGGAAAAAACAAGAGGTAATGTAATATTTCATACATTTATGTATACACATTTATTGTATTCTATGTTTTGAAATCAATGTAAAAATTTGAAATTTTGTTAATGAAGTGTAACCAAAATATATTTATTTGAGGAACTGAATATTTTATTAATAAATTTTTATTATCATCCAATTTCAATCTACTTAATTTAATAAGTTGTTGACTTAAAAAGATAAAAGTTTTAGGTTTATTAAAATGTTTAATATAGTAGAATCTACTTATTGTAATCATTTTTGGGGTATCCTGTAGTATTCTGAAGTAATGATGACAACTGATTAATGATTATAAATGATTAACATTTAATGCACTGGTAAAGACTGTTAATGGTAACTGATAACTGAACAATTGGGCATAACAGCTACTTATTGAGATTTAAAAGATACAGTGGGTGATTAGTTAAGGAACAATTCGGATAACGAACACTTTTGCGAAAGTTTTTTACGTTCAGATAACAAACACCTCACTGAACAAACACAAGAAGAAGCGACGTAAAATAATGGATACTGTTTGGTCTTCCCTTGTCTTCAGACAACAAATTGAAAATTTTTGAAGCATGGGAGATGTCGTCATCTACACTCAACCCAGTATATACTGATTGGATATTATTCCTTCAAACTTCAAAACACTCCCTTGTAATTCCAGACTTTTATTTTTCTGACAGAAACAATTCTTTTATAATATTCGCGAGACTGTCGGGCAGGCACTTATTAAGTTTTGCATCAGTTTTTATTTTCAAAAGGTGAGATTATAATAGTAAAGGTAAAGAGTGGGCAGGGGATCTCTGATGTCTGATGTTGCTGGGCAGTGTGGCTTGAACAAGTCTACAGTAGGCCGCAGTTCAATCTTATCTAAGAAAGATACTGCATAATCAAGAAGACTCAAGCAGCTAAAGGAGGAAGAAAAATCACATCTGAGAAATAAAGAACATTGAAGGAGCTCATAATGGAATCTGAAACATACTGACAACAGAAGAATGCCAAGAACTCTCGAATGAAAAACACCAAGAAACTCAGCGAGATACGTTTTCTTCTGAAAAAGAGGATTAATGCCGATATCTGCTATTAAACATCTTTTGAAGAAGTGGGAGAATGTCAGAACACAATGGTCTTAGAATGGCATCCAAGCCAGGTTGAAGTTAATACGCTTAGGAATCCCTACAATTACAATGCTATTAATTACTTCTGAAAATCCTAAAAAAGAGAGAAGCAATCAATATTAGACAGATTTTTTTAACCCCCACAAACAAAATAAAACATAACTGGTAAAAATGCAAGACTGTGTATATATGTATTTTTACTATTACATATAAATAAATGTAGTAAGAAAGTAGATATTTTTTATTTTTTGGGATCTCCAGAATGAATTAATCAAATTCCCATAAAAACCCATGGTAAATCGATAATAAGTTAACAAACAATTCGGATAGCGAACAAAGTCTTGGAACAGATTATGTATTATGTTTGTTAATCGATCACCCACTGTAATTAAAAATATTTTATTATCTGAAAATAGATGTGATAACTAAAATCAATACTCTAATTACAATAATTGAAGATTTTTCAGTATTTTTTAACTTAATGTTTTGGAACATGCTAATTCTGATAACATAAAATGAATGATGATAATATCCCTCCCTGATTGCAGTAAGCAGATTCTACTGTATGTGGAAACATATATTTTAATAATTTTTATTGCATAGTTTAATATAAACTTTGTGATTAAAGGATAAGTCCAAAAAAATGAGTCAATTTTGTTTATGCATCTTCCAAATCTGTATAAGTTTTAAAAAATTAGTTAGTATTTTTCATTTTTGAAAATTTTTATAATGTGAATTTTATACTCAAATATTAAGACATTATGTGTCCTTGGCTAAGATGTTTTTATTTGATTATCCCTGATTTCAGCATAGTAGTTGTGAACATGATGCTGTCTAAACTAATAAATTACTTAAGAAATTAAACATTGTGATGATAAAATCATTATTACAAATTTTATATCTAATTATTAATAATAATAATAATGATAGTAATTTATATTCATAGTGAGAGGATAATGTAATTATCAAAATATATATACAGGTATACCTTGCCTTACGTCGGTAATTGGTTCCAGGAAAACGACGTAAGTCGAGGTATGCCTGTATATACATATATAACTTATACATATTTTAATAATTACACATTGATAAGCTTAAGTTTGACACATGAGTCTAAAATACAGCAGTTTTTAATATCTTAAATTATCAATACACAAAATGTTTTCAAGAGAATTATCTTGATTGTAAACCTGAAAATGATTACTTAAATCAAAGTAATCATCTTGTGATTTAAACATAAAATTCTGAAACATTAGATTCCAGAACATCTTATATTCAGAAGTGACATTGATGTGCACACTGTAAGGTAGTTTCAAAGTTTACATTGCTAATAATTTCAAGTCTAAAATTAAATAACAGTAACTAACTATCTAATATGTAGAATTTAAAATTGAGTTTTTAAAATAATATATAAGTTAAGATAAAAGAATAAATATATATATATATATATATGTTACCGCTAAAGCTCGGAAACTCGTTAATCTGCAGATTACCTAGCTAATCTGCAGATTAACTAGCGTGATCTGTTAAAGTTGATAAAATTGTTCTATTTCTCAAATTACCTAGGTAATGTGCAGATTATCTAGGTAATCTGCAAATTACCTACTAGGCACTCAGTAAAGTGAAAATAAGATCTTTGCTGAAACAACAGCAACATTTCTGTACGCTTAAATTAACATAATGTTCTTTATTTAATTTTCGATATCTAAAGAATGAAGTGAATACAATCAAACAATCGACAAATTAGTTGATAAAATCAATCATCAACCAATTAAAAAACATACAAAAAATCAAACGATTTAAAATATTAATACAATTAGGGAAATTATTATATAGATAACCACCTATGGAATTTCGGGACTTTGAGTATCTATCTGAACTGAGGGGACCGAGACGACTTCAACGATACCCTACTTTTGGACCGGAGACGAAAAATAATAAAGTTATCATACTTTTTCTGGTGATC